TTCTCTCAGATCTTTCATCATCTTTCATTTTTTTTCAATTCAACTTCACTACCTACCTGCCACTACTCCTAAGGCTAATAGAGGGGACCCCTGCGAACGTAGCTTTGTTGTCTCCCACCAGCCATCAGAGGGGATGCATGTTGCCCCCCCCCTCAAAAAACCATGGTAGCCAGGATAAGGTGGGCAACCAGTGTGGGTCCGACTAACGCAAAGACCGAGCAGTTTGCCAGTAGCTGATGGATGCATGTTGCCCCCCCCCAAGAAAAAACCATAGTGGTCTAGGATAAGGTGGGGCAACTAGTGTGGGTCCGACTAAAGCAAAGACCGAGCAGTTTGCCAGTAGCTGCCCTCCCTTTTCATCGTTTTCCACCCCTAGCCGAATAACAAAGAGCAGTGTCTACGCACAACACTCTCCCACACACCACACACAACCCACTTACACTCACACTCACACCCGTGTTGGCCAAGGACCCTGTTTATACCTATCAGATGTATCAAGAAGGACCCTGCTAATACCTATCAGAGGTATCAAGAAGGACCCGGCTAATACCCATCAGAGGAATCTAGCGTACTGTCACCGCTGGTGGGCCCAGTGACCTTTTTCCTTATTTTTATAAAGGGTACAAATTGCCCAGTGGAAATGTTGAAGGGGTCTGAAAGATGTATTTTTGCAAGGACAGTGGGACCGCCCCCGCAAATACTTTTGCTGTGAAACAACTGGGGGCCAAGTCCAACTAATATCAGATGAAAAGTTTTGGTTCCTTGTACTGCGCGGCTAGAAAGTGTGGCTGTTGGACGGGAGGGAAAAGGATAAAGAAAATCATGTCCGGCAGACCGGGGCAGTGGGAGGGCAGGGGAATAGTAATGTCGTGCGAATAGAAGACGGCGGACGCGGTTATGATATAAGAAGAGTGCGGCAGAGTGTGGAAGTAACTGTTATCATAATTCACGGCCACCTGACTGTCGTCCTGCAGGACTTCTAAAGCTGCAATGAAGATAGATTTTCGCAATCAAACTCGGGCCCCACCAATATTTTTGCTGTGAACCTACCACCACGCTACGTGACACCCACGGCCTAGGCCGTGGGCAATTCGGCCGCCCCCGCCTGGGCCTGGCACGACCGCACAGAAACTTGGCCGCCGCCGAGGCCGCAGGATCTGCGGCCTAGGGTGTCACGTAGCAGCCAGATGCTATTTTTGGGGGCTGCTCAATTCGGGATGTCTGTGTTGCCTGTGGGTGATGATGGATGCTCATCAGAGTGACTCCCTGGCGCAGTGGGTGGTGGGAACCAACAGTCTGCGGTTTTCAACTGTGGTGTGAGTGGGTGCTGTTCTGCTTTGCTCCATGTTGGATGTGTGGACTGCCTCGTCTGTGCTGTTCCACTGCCTTGCTGCCTGTCCCGCTTGCTTCACATGTGGTTCTTTTGCTGTGTTCGCTGTGTTGTGTGGCCGTGTTGCTGGTGTTGCCTTGCGCTTCGCTGCTCTGCTGCATTGCCGCTCATCCGCTGGTCGTGCCTTCCGTGTCCGCTTGAGCGCTTTGTAGTTTGGTTGCCTTGTCGGTGCTGCCTTGTGCTCCACTGCATGGTTGTCGTGCTACTCGACCGCTAGCCTTGTCGTCCCCTGCTGTGTGGTTGCCTTCTTGGTGTCGCCTTGTGCTTCACGACGTGGTTGCAACACTGCTTGTAGCCTTATCCTGCACGCCGTGTCGTTCCTTGCACTCGTTTTTGGCATTGTGCAGCCATGTTGCCCCTACTGAGTCTACTGCTTTGCCTGGTGCTCCGCAGGGTTGCTGTTCCCTAATGTGTTCCACCTGGGGGACAATCTGCCTTCAACATGTGTCAAAACGTTCATAATCCAAACCACCCAATACAAAGACTCCACAGATTGTCAGGGTTCAGCCTCCTGATGAGTCGGTGCAACTCCGGCGAAACACTCTGTCATCATCAGTGTCTGTTTATTTTTTTCGCTCTCCGTTTTTCCAACTTGGTATCGATACTTCGTGCCTTTTTAACTTGTTGCTTTGTGTTGGTTGGCTGCCCACCCTCCCCCCCCATGTCCTCCACCCTATGTGACTTGCAACCTCTTGAAGGCATTGTGCTCGTCGGCAAATGACGGCGAGGTAACAAGGCACTGCGGGAGGAGACCTTTACCTTCTTGGACACGATCAGTCTGTGGATATTCTGGGATTGCTCATCCCCATTAGATTGGAAGATGAGGAACATTCTGCGCAGCAGGACAGAAGGGGCGAGTGCAGGTGCGCCTTCTTTCCGGCCAGAAGAGGTCTCCTATGCTTTGAGACCAAAGTCCATGGACACCTTAGGTTGTATTGTTTTTCTATTCTTGTAGCGTGTCGCAGTAGTTTCACAGCAAGAATAATATTGGAGGGGCCATGTTTCGTTGCAAAAATATATTTTTCGTTGCAGTTTTAGAGGTCCCAGTCGTTTCACACCAAACCTCTTTGCAGGTGGGGTCCCACTTTCCTCGCAAAAATGCATCTTTCTGACCCACAACTTTCCGCTGCAAAACTTCGAAAGCGAGCTATTTCTGCAATTACAGCCTTGAGATGTCATAATGAGACTGACGTACCCTAGGTAATTAATGTGCTTTGCTCATCTTGCTCCACCTGGATTCTATCTAAGGTCTAGATTTCAACACTTCATGCATTTTGAATTCAATTCAAAATTCAAATGACATTGTCCACAGGATTGAAACTCTGTCAGGCTGGACACCACGCCCGTGGGCCCACGTCAGCACTCTAGGATGTTTTGCAGATAATTTGGACTGTTGTATTACCCTGATCACAGGGCCCACTTGTCATATACACATGTGCATGCACCAAATGTTTATGCATGACATTGTCATTCCGACTGGATTCTTACTCAGGTCCATATTTCAACACTTCAAGGTCACCAGTATACAGCACAAGGTCATTAAAACTGTACATGGGCAACTTTCAGTCTAGAAACAGGCTAAATACTAAATAGCAATCATGACAACTTGAAGGTTAACGGCCCTATAGGCCTGTTGGTAATGGTTACATGGGATTTTTTTTTTTTTTTTTTTTTTTTTTTAAACAAGCTCCATCTATTGGTGGGGAGCCACACCTGATGGAAATCTGGTCCAGCGTCCCTTTGAATACATCTGTTCCCTCTTTCTTGTGGCACAAACTGAGAATGGTTTCATGGGATTAGGGACTAAACTCCAAGCTTTTCTTTTTTTCTTTTTTTAACCCTGACCAACGACACTAGACAAGGATCAGATTTCAAGTTGGTGAGAGGATGTCGAATGATTGATGATGTTTCAGTTTTTGTTAAGAGTAATAGCATGGATCAGATTTCAAACTCTCGTAGGGAATCCATTTTTCACAAGTTAGAAACCGGGTGTTACGACAGACATTTGACTCTGGAAAGAACCAGTACTTTGAATGACTGGCCATATCTTGGGTGTCGACTGTTGATCGGCGAACACCCAACGAGGATCTACTGTCAGGCAACGCACAAGAATCAAGATGAGCTTTTTCGAGGTGATGGGCTGATTTTTCAAAATCTGCAGGATTACGGGTCCTTTTGCAGCGAGAAACAAAAAATGGCAGTGATCTCTTCCTTTCTCCATCGGGCACATACCATGGGCACTTTACCCGGGTCTAAGGCCTTATTCCTTTTCAGCCTGAAACTGGAACTCAAGCGCCAGCAGTTTCCAGACTATTATTTTGACAGGTCCCTTGTTTCCTTCAACACTAAAATTGGCGGGGTCTGGTCCCCTTGGATTGAGTGCTTTACAGGTTGGAAATTTTGGTAAACCCTGGGACGGTTTCTTACAGGCCTTATTATTTTAGACCGTCAATATTTTCGATGCTTCTGGATTTTGTTTTTTAGTCCGGCCTATACTTCGTTAGACCATAAGTTAGTTAGTTCTCACCTATTCCCATACCCAGAGCGCCCCTGAGGAGTGTCGGTTCACTGGCGAGCCGGCTGAAACAGCTGTCAGGTTCATTTGCCAGTCGAGTTTCATGCTATGGCGGAATTCTTTCCGTCAATTTTGATTGTGCTTTATGTTAAATCTTATGCGAGCTGATGCGCTCGGGGTTTTCTACTTTCTACTTTTATTCTCCTGACTCCCTTCTCCTCTCCTTGTCTCGTTACCTTGAGTGTGCATTCACTTGGTTGTGTCATACATTGGACTTTTTTCCACTTTGACACGCACATAGCTAACCGACGGGGAATAGTACCTCGTTAGAGTGACTATGATCGTACTACAACGCTTGCACTTTACACTCAGTGCTCTACCTTCC